CAAAGTACAAATAGAAGTGCTTTCTTGAGAGGAGGAACTTGAGAGTTCTAACATGATCAAAACTGCACTTCAGAAAAATTATTCTGCCTATAACATGCAAGGTGAACCAAAAAAGGATCAGACTGGAGCACACGGTAGCCCCTGAGCAAGGATGCTGCAATAGGCAAGAGGAAGACAGAATACATTTAAAAGATACTTTGATTATGAAAAGATTCAAAGAATTAGGGCTGTTGCTAAAGAAGGATGAAGTGTTGAGTGTATTATTGTTTTTTTGTTTTTTTTTTTACAAGAAGGGGCTTGAGCACGGTTGTATCCTGAGGGGAAGGAGTTGGATGGGAGGACATAATAAAAATGTCGAAGAAGGAGAAGGTGGAGGATGGGGTCTGGAGTTTAGAGTCACCATTCACTGGCTCTGTGACTGGAGCAAGTTACGTAAGCTTTTGAATTTCAGTTTACTCACTTATAAAATTGAGATGATTTCTATCCTCTGGAATTGTTCTAAGGATTAGAAAGTAATTATGTAGAGTCCTTAGAATAAGGACTTGACAAAAGGTTGTTGTTATAGCTGCTATTATTATCCTTATCATTGTAAGTGTGTGACTTTAAGATAAGAGAAAAGACAATAATGAGGTACAGAAAAGTTGGGAGGCAGAAGGGAAAATTAAGTGAGTTCACACTTGTTTATCTGTGAAGATGCCGAGAAGAGAAAGAGAAAGAGAGTTCTGGGATAGGGGTTTGAAAATGAGTGGTGAAAGTTTACAACAGCCATAGTGGCCATGCAAAGAAACTGACCAGCTGGGGACATCCAAAGGAATTTCTGATTGGTTTGAGGGATCAGAGGCGAGAATCTTAAAGTATGGCCCATTTCTTTCACAAGAGAAAAAAATAGTGGAAGAGTTGGAATTACTCTGGACCATTTTCTTGACCTATCTTCTCCTACACTAGAATTATTTTACATTTTTTCTTAAAAATTTTAAAACTTGTCTGGAGAAGCTCTTTTTAAACTGCTGTTAAGAGAAAACTATTACAGTAGAAATTGAAAATGGCACAGGAACAGAGCGTATTAATAGGTGCGTGGAGAAAAGAGTTTTCCCTTTCAAAATATTTCATACTTAGTTTCTTATTCTAAGACTTCTCTGACCCTTTACCATGTTAATGGTAGGCATTACGAACCTAAAGATGGCTGATTAAGTATGTAGTGTTTCCCAAACATTTTTGGCCACAGAACCATTTGTTTTGTACAGACATTCCTAGCGACACAGTTTGAGGAGATTTGGCCTAATAAATATGTCTTGTATGTCTGGCTTTCCTTTTCCTAGATGCCACATCTTCAAGATAATAAGGTTATTTTCTCTCAAAGTTCTCCATATGTCTCCGTTACCAATCTATTCTTCTGGTTGGTAAGTCCCTTAGTTCCTCTCGTCATGGTTCTCATTGGGGTTGGTCTTTCTACATTTGGAAATATGTGGAAATATGTGAGGGTGTGCCACTGGTCACCAGGGAGGTTAATTGCTCTGCAGGGAGTGAGACAGTCCTGAAACGCGGAGAATTACCTCCCTCCCACCCTAAAATGTTTTCCCTATGATATAAAATTGTCAGCTGTAAGTCAGGAGCTTTTCAATTGCTGTATTACCAGTTGAACAAGACTTCTGCATGTCTGGATAGTTCAAGTCACCTATCACTCTTGCATCTTATCCCTGTGGGGGTTTATGAGCTGTGCAAAAAGACATCGCCCACTTTCTCCATTAGATCGCATGGCCTGTGGAAAGGCTATCTCTGCAAAGATACTGAAAGGTCAAAAATATCAAAAAGGAGCTTTCCTTTCTGACTACGTGCTACCTACTTAGTTGACTTGTCCCAAAGCCCATCCCTGACCTGTCATGAGCTTCTAAGGACCTATTTTTGAGAACTGTCCAGTGTTACTATTTTCCTTATTTTACAGAAGAGGAAACTGAGACCTATGGAGGCTCGGTAAATTGACTCCCCATATCACAGGGACAACAGGTGCTGGAGGTGAGCTTCAGACCCAAGCATTCTGACTCCAAAACTCAGCTGCTTAACTTACTCAAAAACGCTCAAGTCATTACTTCATTATGCTGTTTTTCAGTTATATTTGGCTCCTTTTATATCATTGTGGAGAGCATCCTAATGATTTCTGGTTACTTTCTTGTCCAAGGTTTCTGAAACGCTGTTCTATTATCAGAGTAGATACTCACTGTATATGTCAGCATGAGCAGGTCATTTATCCTTTTGCACCTCATCTCTAAAACAGAGCAATTGTGCTAAAAACTCGCTCTCCAGCGTCTCTCTTGATACTAAATTTAACAATTCCATCGACAGTGTTTAGACTTTTATAACACTTTCAATTATGTTATAGCAAGACCAGATTCAGTTTCATTTTCTTTTAAAACATTGTTTTCACTGGCGAGTGAAAATAAGTGTCTTAAATGGTATCTGGAGGGCTTTGGCCCTACCGTAGTGATCTACAAAACCCACAAATTAAGGACTTGTGTTGTTAAGTCTCCCTGAGCCCAGAATTCCCTTCTCATAATTCCACGGGCAAAGGCCTAAGGAAGAGCAAAAGTTTTTTCCTTTGAGGTAAAACAAAACAGATCTAATCATTGTCTATATCTATGCTTGACAATAATAACATATTATACAAACATCCCTCCCAGGCCCTTACTGTGCTGTTTTTGCTATTCATCAAATATATTTATCCACAGTCTGGCTTTAATGAGAGAAGTAGAGGTCTTTGTGCATATACGTGGTAGCACAGCACTGTTTTCAGAGTGTGTAAAAAACCACTTATTATAAAAGTAATGATGGACTCTGTGTTGTATAAAAGAATTACACAGTAGGGGCCGGCCCCATGGCTGAGTGGTTAAATTTGCGCACTCTGCTGCAGGCAGCCCAGTGTTTCGTTGGTTCGAATCCTGGGCGCGGACATGGCACTGCTCATCAAACCACGCTGAGGCGGCATCCCACATGCCATAACTAGAAGGACCCACAACGAAGAATATACAACTATGTACCCGGGGGCTTTGGGGAGAAAAAGGAAAAAATAAAATCTTTAAAAAAAAAAAAAAGAATTACACAGTAGAGAAATGTAGAACATAAGAAGTCTCTCATTTCTTCTAAAATATATGCTAATGCTGAATCCCATTCCAAGAGGAATTAATAGCTTTTCGTGAAGGGTTATGATAATTGTTTTGTTTTTTATAAGCTAATGTACATGAAAAACTAGCCCATAACTCAGATTCTATGACATATACTATATTTAAGGTAGCTATCTTTTATTCATTTAAAAAGTTTTTCTAAATAACTTGCTTAAATTAGGATTTTTGGAATTATTATTGTTGAAAAGGTAATATATGCCCACGGTATAAAACTTGAACACAAAAGCAAATAGAATGGAAAGAAGCTATCTTTCTACTGCACATCCACAGTCTCTAGTAACAGAATGATTTTTATGTACATTAAACCATATACATCTATCTAAAAATAATGCAAGATGGAGGCCGGCTCCGTGGCCAAGTGGTTAAGTCCGTGCGCTTCCCTGCGGCGGCTCAGGGTTCGGATCCTGGGTGCGGACATGGCACCCCTCATCAGGCCACGTTGAGGCGGCGTCCCACATCCCACAACTAGATACAACTGTGTACAGGGGAGGTTTGGGGAGATAAAGAAGAAAAAACGAAAATAATGCAAGATAGTATAAATTTTTTTGAACAAGTGTAAGCATAACATATATATTGCTTTGCACCTTGCTTTGCTGTCTCAGAGATTAGAGATCATGACATAACAGCTCATATCAATCTCTTCCTGCTTTTCAGCCAGACTGTAGCCATCACAGAAGTGACTAACCAGTCTTCCATGGATGGATAACTAAGCTGTTTTCCATTCTTTTGTTATTAAAAATAGTCATAAAGAACATCCTTACTCATCTTCGCACACATGTAGGAATACATTTGAAGGGTAAATTCTTACAAGTAAAATTTCGAGTCATAGGAAAACTTGATATATAATACTAAGCTGCCGTCTCATAAAGTTTCCTCAATTTATGAGAGTAAAAAGGGCTTAATTTAGAGCATTTATATTGGCACCATCTTTTAAAGAATCCTTTATTACAGTAACACTAAATAAAATATCCGTATTCATGCAACTCAGGGTTTGTCCACAAATATTAGGAGTAGACTAATTAGGGCTGTTTTAGATTCTCCTGGTCCCTAAGGATCATATCACTTAAAAATGTACCCATGTGGGGGCCGGGCCCACGGCCGAGTGGTTAAATTCTCGAGCTCTGTTTCGGTGGCCCAGGGTTTCACCAGTTTGAATCCTGGGCGCGGACAGAACACCACTCGTCAGGCCATGCTGAGGAGGCATCCCACATGCCACCACTAGAAGGATCCACAGCTAAAAATACATAACCATGTACCAGGGGGCTTTGGAGAGAAAAAGGAAAAATAAAATCTTTAAACAAAAAAAGTACCCATGTATTACAGTTAAATATAACTCTGGACATGAGTTACAGTTGATACCATGTTATATTTTTAACAGAAAAATATTAATTAAATATATATTAATATCTGTTAGCGTTTTGGAGTTCATTCATTTTTCCCCCAGGCATAAACATTTTGCTAGGCCTCTAAAAGCCTGCAGGCCCTTAGGCATTGCGCCTCTCTCTAGTGCTTGATGCCTAAGTGTCCCTCTACAGAGTTCATTGACCTCCCCGCCTTCCAAGGACACTGGGCCTGGGGCCTACACGAAGGAATGTGTCTGCACTCGGGGCCAAAGATGGCCACTTTGGCCCTAACTCTAAAGCCCAAGTTACAAAGAATATGACCTGCGTCATGTTCCTTGTCTGGGCTGGTCACCCCAACAGGCACCTGACTAAACTTTAGAAACATCTCATCCATGGGAACAAAAAAGATAGAAACATCACATCCGTGGGAACAAGAAGAAATAACTCAAAGTATCCAAATGTCTGAAACCCTGAGTCAGAACCCAGAGAAACCTTAGGATAAAAGGGAGTCACAGGCATAGAACAATTGGGAGTCTCACTGAGGAAAGGACGCTTTGCCTCAGACCCGGAGAATCGGTGCTCCTGCCCGCCGTACATATTGTGACTTCCCTGGCTGATTGTGGCGTGGATGTTGTAAGTACCCATTTGTTGCTCCCTTCATCCCTGTTCCTTGTTCTGTTTCTCTCTATCAATAAACTTTGATTGCTTAAACAACCGAGTAGCCTCAGCGGTACCTGTCATTCCTTGCCCTTTGCAACTGCGGGCGACAGTCCACAAGGCTAACTGGAAAAGCAAATTGCCTCCATCTTTCCAGTAAAATTTTCAGAGCTTGTTTATTCTGCACTCTCCTTTTTCTTAATTGGTTTAATGAAGTTTCAGATCTTTAGCTAATACTTTGCAGGAATAGAAATATTCCTAAATTCCCTAGTCCTAGAAAATAGTCACCATAGTAAATAGGTCAAGTCTGTACTGTTTAGGGAACAAGGAGATTTTGGTTGCTTGTCTTAAAGGAGGGATCCTTGTGAGAGTAGGGCTCTGGGTGCAGGTGAAGGGTAAATTGTGACAGGGGACTGCTTCCTTTTTCCTACAAGGATGTTGCTGTCAATTGTGTAACAGTGAAGGCATTTTGTGTAAGGATATGAGGCTCCAATAAGTTTTTCAAAGCCACACTATCTTTTTCACTAGGAAGAGTTTTTCCCGGTACTTCAAAAGAAGATAAGGATGGCTTGAAAAAAGCCTAACTTTGAATACTCTTAGGAAGCTGCCAGAGTTCTGTTTAGAGATCCTCACTGCAGTAGCTTCCTATTACCGTACTTAAAAATATGACCCTCACTCCCGTTTCAATCATCCGAAGTACTGGGTCACGACAGAGTTCAGTGTACCTTAAAAGGGAGGCTACCTGCGGTTAAGGAGAATCTAAGCTACAAATCTGGCAGCTTGAACCACGGTTTTCATAACGAATCTCCACTTTGTCGCTTGCGTCAGTCAGCGCCGCCCTCAGGACAAAGGGTGGTGGGGACGGGCGGGGGTCAGGGGCACGGACTGCCGTAAGAGGAGGCTGTTTGTGTGGCCTGTTTACAGGCTGCTCCTTTTCAACACCAAGCCAGCCGTTCTCCATGTCCCCGGCAGACCTCCGGCCCGAGGGTCACACACACGCCCGAGTGGCTCACAGGAGCGAGCAGGGAAGCTACCCCATGGCCAAGACTCAGGAATTTCGCCCGCAGGGGCCAACACCACGTGGACACCCGGACTCCGCCTCCACTCCATCTTCGGCGCCGGGAAGGGCGGTCCCGGGGACGCTCCAGGCAACGCCTCCCGTGCCGGCCAATGAGGAGCGGGGGCTGCGTCGGGGCCTTCGCTCATTGGGTCGCGCTGGCTCCGCTCCGCGGCGAATGCAACCCTCCTGCCAGCTAATAAAGTCTCAGCCTCTGAGCCCGGGGTCTGGCTTTTGTGCGCTGGCCACCGGTCGTGCTCACTACCCTTAGCTCGCTTTCTCCTGATTCTTCTGTGTGTCTTCCAAACCCTGACGCACCAGTTCCCTAGTCTTATCTTACTCGCTCTTTTCCTCTCTTCGTTCTTCGCAGCTCAGCATGCAGGGAAAAGACGCCTCCCCGCGCGGTTTCCTGCCTAGGTTCCAACATTTCGCCACGCAGGCCATCCATTCGGGCCAGGAACCAGAGCAATGGACCTCCCGGGCTCTAGTGCCCCCCATCTCATTGGCCACCACGTTCAAGCAAGAGGCTCCTGGCCAGCACTTGGTGAGCTGGGTCTGTCTGGGGTGGTCCAGGGTTGGGCGAGAAAATAAGATGGCTTATAAATTAAAAAGGCACTCAAGATATTTGTGAGATGGCTTATACATCAGGATGGCACCCCAAAAGGATTGCAAGGATATAATCCTTGCCGTTAAGCTTTGTATTGGATGGCATAGTGAGCATATTTCTTTTGATAAGCAGGACAGGAAGGAACAATTTGTCCAACTTGCTGTATGGTTTTGGACTGAAATTAATGTGATTTTAGCAAATTTGCAGTTCAAAACTGAGGATCATAACTTCCTTGAATTACCTGTAGCAGCAGCAGTTATAAAGATATGGTAAGGAGTCAGCTAAAAAAAAAATTTAAGGATCTGATAATTCACCTAGAATCAAGATCATTCCTGATAGCTGTATTCCATCGTTAATAGTTACTGAGTACTTGCTATGTGCTAAAGATATATTTACATGTATTATATCGTGTGTATTACATGTACTGTTTTGGCTAATCCTGACAACAACCATAGACTGAACTAGATTCTCATTTTTCTCATGAAAAATTGAGATGTGAGGATATTAAATAACTAGGCTAAGGCCACATGGCTAACAGGTAGTGGAGCTAGGATTGCAACCCTGTTCCAAAACCCCACTCTTAGGCATTAGGCCACACTGTGCTATACTCCAACAATGCAAGCAATAATCTACCCCACTGCATCATGTAAGCAGTGTGGCTTAGTGATTAAGAGCAAAAATCATGTAGTCAGAGGACTTGGGTTTGGATTCTGACACCACTTCGTCTGAGCTGGGTGACCTTGAGCAAGTTACTTACTCTGTCCAAGCCTCAGGTTGATCTTGTGTAAATGGGGTTGATAAATTATTGGTCCGTGTGTTAAGCTGTATGGTACATTACATGTGCTCAGTTGTTCAGTATTTCACAGTGTTCATATTTACACTTTTTCTATTTGATCCTCACAACAACCAGGTCAGATGGCAGGATATGTATTATATGCTTTTTATAGAAAAAAATATTGACCCAGAGTCATAGATAAGTGACTTTTAAGGCTTATGAGAGAGTCCTTTTTGTTAATCACATAGCTTTTTCCCTTTTGGTAGCATACTTGATGGATTTTGGAGTATTTAAAAGTTGCTGAGTTTAGAAGAAATTAGTTAAACTTTGTAAATCCAAAACCTTGATTATACTTCAAAAATCTCTTTAGTGTGTTATGTAAGTTCAGGAAAAATCTTTCAGACTTAGCCCTTTGCTTTGTGAGGTAGAATTCTACAGCTGGTGTAGGATACTTTTAGCTACTGTATTTTAGAATCAGAATGTGTACACAGCCTATCTTCCAAGCACATGGTTTGTTCCCAGTATAGGGTTTCATGAATGTGTAGCTGCCCAAGCTTTAGCACTTAGTACAAAAGTTAACTAGTTAGCTATGATATTAATAATTAAATGTTTTCGGAGAGCCAGAAGGGATGGAAAAATCCACAAACTCCTCTTAATACCTTGAAAACATCAGTTAACAGCACTAAAGAGAATTTGAGGAGCTAGATGAGAAACAACCTAATTTTCCGCTTCCATTTGGAAAGCCATTGAATGGGCAAGAGGGTGGAAATTTGCTGCTGAAATAGGCTTCTTTTCTCCCCACAACGTTAGATCTCTGCAGTGAATGTTTATGGAAACATGGCATACCTTTCTGTGGCAATAGCCGCATGAATCCAAACAGTTTTTTTGTGTCTGGTGGGTCCAGTGGCAGCTCACGTCAAGGAGATGATGGTGAGGAGGGGTGAGAATATCCCGGAGCTCTATGAAATATGTCTGCTCAGTTTGTCAGAAACAAGGAAACAAAGCAACAAAACTTAAAAAAAATTATTACTAATACTAGGAGCTCTTGAATCAGAAACAAAGATGTAAAGAGTGGTTGTGTTTGTTATGTACTGTATGAGGCAGGGGAGGAAATGATAGGGTTTTATTCAGTGCTTAAATACTGGGTTTGAATTCTCGCTCTGATGCTCCCTGTAACATTTGGCTTCACTTTCCCCAAAGCAGATCTTGAGGATTAAATAAAATGACTGGATGGATACAGCTAGTATGGTGCCATACATGTAAAAGGAACATAATGCAAATTTTAAAAAAGTATTGCGTGGAGCGGCTTTGCCAAGAATTCCTCTATTATTTTTCTTTTAAAGATTGGCACCTGAGCTAACAACTGTTGCCAATCTTTTTTTTCCTGCTTTTTCTCCCCAAATCCCCCCAGTACATAGTTGTATATTTCGGTGTCCTAGTTGTGGCTTGTAGGATGCCACCTCAATGTGGCCTGATGAGCAGTCCTGTGTCCACGCCCAGGATCTGAACCAGTGAAACCCTGGGCCGCCGAAGCGGAGAGCGCGAACTTCACCACTCAGCCACGGGGCCGGCCCCCCTCTCTATTTTTTGAGTTGCTTTTGTAGAGCCGGCATCTGAACTTTGAGCATTTGTAGGGTCTGTTCATAGCTTCCTGTTGGATGCTAAATAGACCTTGCATCACTTATTTCTGAGGAGGTAAAATATAGGTTAGAATTGGGGTGACTCTGTTGGCTCAGGTGATTCCCTTTTCCTAATATCCCCAGATTAATGGGTAAAGGTGAGTCTAATATAATAATAATGCTAATAATATAAGCAACCATTTATTTAGTGGTTAGCATGTGCCAGGCGCCATGGAGAGAACTTATGGTACATTATTTCGTTTTATCCTCACACCAACTTTATGAACTAGATATTTGTGTTTTGTTCTCGCTTAACAGATACTGAGATTGACTCTGGGAAATGTTAAGTGACTTACCTATTGGCATGTAGCTCATAAGTGGTAGGTGCAGAATTCTAATCCACTTTGGCTGACTTCAGAACCTCCCCACACTGCTATAGCCACAACACTGCTATGCTTCTGTCTAATGGCAAGATGCATCATATATAAACAATAGAAAATCATGATGGTAGGATGAACCCATAGTTGTGGAGATCTCTTTTGGGACTCTGATAATCAACTTAAATCTCTTAAAATGCACTCTACCTTCTCTTCAGGGTTTTGACTACAGCCGCTCTGGGAACCCAACCAGGAATTGCTTGGAAAAAGCAGTGGCGACACTGGATGGGGCTAAGTACAGTAAGTGATTTCCATTTCCAAGTTTGTGAAGTCCAGAATGCATTCTTACATATATAGAGAAAATCATAGAGGCACAGAGTACAGAATTAGAAAGAATAGGGATTAGCTGGTTCAAAACTCTGATTTTACTGAGACATTGAATTATTTGCCCAAGGTCCCCCAGCTGGTAGAATATGCATCTGTGTCATTATTAGGTAAAAATAAATACGAATAGAGGCAAAATGGCAAAACTTGCCACTTGGTATTCATATAAATGCGCTCTTCATCTGAACCTGTCAGTATAAATAGATAAAAATCAACTAAGTTTTGTAACACTACCTATGAGAATATAAGCTTTCTTACACTCTGGTTCATTCACTGGGTAATTTGTGCGTGAGAATAGTACTGAGGTACATTTGCAATAGTCAGGTGCCCTTGATAATGTGTTCTCAGAGACTGGGGATTGATTCCTTGAATCTTGTGTTGCTTTTTCATGAAAGGAGTAGATTTAAGTCCTTGCTGTGTATTTTTATAAATGACACTAAATGAGAGCAGAATCGTGACTGGAAGATGAGTCTTATGAGGCTTCTCACCACAAGTGTGTAGGAATTAGAAATGTTAACGTGAATTGTTGGGTTTGTTTGGGATTTGGGAGGGGGGATTGTTTTGTCTTGGATGAGATTAACACTAAATCTCTGGAATTTAGTGCTGTCTGGGGAACATTATTTCCTGCAAGAAGTATAAAGGCTGAGTGTTCACATGTCAGACACTTTTTTAAGTGGGCTCCAGTAAACGTGGTTGTTTTCCACTGGGTTTAAGTGTAGCTTTCTATATGAATTCACTGTTGGATCTCAGATCTGCTTAGTAAACAACTGTAATTCCAACCTAGACTTTTCTGAGAAGATTTTACAATCATTATACTTTTCAAGTTAATTGGATTATTCCTTCTACCAGTCACAGGTAATTTTTAGCATCAAGGTGGAATATTGATATTTTGTCAGGGTACTTTCTTTTACAGTTTAATGTGCACAATGCCTGTTATTTTTTAATCATTCATTTTCATTATTTTTGTTCAATATACGATTCAGGATCACTTTTATTAAAAAGAGATTCCAAATAAAAAATTTTTAAAAATGTATTAAATTTATCAGACACATCTCAGGTCTGATTTTGATATTTCGTTAAAACATTTATTTGCTCAATTGCATATCCATATAGTTAATGAATGAATATATCTTATCTCTGTCCCCCAAGTTTGAAGTTTCTTTACAGTTTGGTGTTTTTAAACTGTAATTTAATTGGCAGTTGGCCCTTTATCTCAGAATTTTGTAAAGAATTCTTTCCCTGAAGTGTTTCAGAGAAATGTTATAACCAGAGCAGAATTATATATTTTTTGTTTTGAAGATATTTTATCTCTGAAGTAGAAAGGGGGATTTTGTAATGGTATTAATCAGGGGATGTCTGGTAACTCAGCAGCGGTGACTGTCCTTCTGTCAGCAGAGAGAGGGCTATAAGGTAATGCAAGTAAATACTGTAGGTGTTTTTAACCTGTAGGTCTGACTTTTTGGCTTACTCTAACTTGGTTTTTATTTTAGGTTTGGCCTTTGCTTCAGGTTTAGCAGCCACTGTGACTATCACGCATCTCTTAAAAGCGGGAGACCACATTATTTGTATGGACGATGGGTATGGAGGTAAGTGACCGCTCTCATTCATGTTGTAACAGCTGATATTTTAAAGATAATAAAGTGGGTCCTGAATTATATTAGCAATGTTACCAGGATTATTGATTATTTATTATATTTTAGTGGTGTTGTAGACGCTCTATGCTGGCTCAGACTTGGTAAAGGAGGGGCATAAACACTTTGGGTCCCTGCTCTGGAACTGCTTATAAGAGAGAATGTCTAATGAGAATTTTACTTAAGCTGCTAGAATGAGGATGTAGGACTTGATCAACTTTCAAACATATTTTGCTCTAGAGAAGGCAGTGTTCAAAGGGAGAGAGTTCTAGTGTAATTTATAATTTTACCTGCAATAAAGAGGGACTGTAACCCAGATCACTCTCAGAGAGCTTAACTCTACCCACCCCTTTTGGTTTTAGGGGACCTTTAGAAAATCTGTTGAAGACTATGGACCCCTTTCCATGAAAAATGTACTTAAGATGACACCCAACATTTATTGTTTGAATTTTAGGGTCAAGTTGGGGGGTCTCACCCATTTCAGCTCATCCATGGGTTCCCTTGAAGCCTATTTATGGATCCAAATTTAAGAACTTCCATTCTAGAGAGTTCAAATGCTTGTTATGTAAAGTGGCGAGTGGAAGGTAAAGCAGGCAGGTTGCCCTTACCTTTAAGCAAGACTGATTTTTGTGTTCAAAACAATAGCAAAAAATTTTGTAAATATACATATATATTCCAAATGCTTCCAAATAATTAAAATGTGACTTCTAGTATATTGTTAACAGTTTTTCTCTCTCCTATCTGAACAGGAAGTTAAATCTGTAAGTTCTTTGAAGGAAGGGACTCACCCTTAGTAATCATTTTATCCCTCAGAAATTTGCAAAGTGCTGTGTATTTTATCTTGGGTCCCTGTGATAGTTTGTTGAATCTAAATGACAACATCTCAAACCTTTAGTTACTTCTAGAATGCTTATAAAGACCTCGTAGCAAATAGAGTACAAAATCTTGAAAATTGCTGTTGATTTTTAACAATTCTTTACATTATTTTTCAATCTTATATTACCTAGGGTCAGTCTACATAACATCGAAAGTTTAGTGTATTTTTGATCATAGAGTGTTTTTCCTTTTGTTTTTGGTTGACTCTCGATAACAGCAGTTTTCCCTTTAAATTTGCATAGGTAAAAATCAAATCCAGAGCAGTGTTTATAAAACAAATTATTCTAATTATTCTAAGTCAAATGATTTATCTTCTTTCACTATAAAACTCTAGTAGTTTGATTTACATTGTCTCACTTAGTATTAAAACTTTCAGAACCACGTAACAAAAAGATTGAGAAAGTACAAAGAATAATAACCAGTTCTTTTCTATTACCAAAGTATAATCAGATTGAAAAATTTATTTTGAACATTTCATTAACCTTGGTTCATTTATTTTAGATCTGAGTACTAGGAAGAAATTGTTTAAAAAGATATTGATGTTTCCGAAAACATGCCACTTAATGTTTGAAGAGTAGAGATTGTATGTTCTGAGAAACATCTTCTGCTTCGTGCCACTTAGTGTGGATATCAAATGTGTTTTATTTGACTCTTTAACTTTTAGTTTAAAATCCAAGCCTTATATTCTTTACTATACAAGATAGGTAAATTATTTACCCAAAGTAGAATTGCTTTGAGTTGTGTTATTATTGGTGATTGACACTTGCTTATATTTTTAAAGTGTTTATACCTATAAGGAATGAACATTTCTTGATACAATATTCTTTTCATTTTATCTGATTCTCTTCCGCTGCAGGTACAAACAGGTACTTCATGGAGGTGGCATCTGAATTTGGATTAAAGATTTCTTTGGTTGATTGTTCCAAAATCAAATTGCTAGAAGCAGCTATTACACCAGAAACCAAGGTAATTCAATTTTCAGTTTTGTCTGTTTTCCCTGTGATATTTTGTTTTTATCATTTGTATTTACTAGAGGACATAATTTAAATCTGAATAACAAATTTTATTAAAAGCCTTTGGAAACCATCAACAAGAGTAAGATAGATCTGGTGTCTCCTAGATTTTAAAGCATAATGGTTAGGTACACATTCTGGAGTGGGTTTCGAATTCTAATTCTGCATCATAGTTGCTGTATTATCTTGGACAAATTATTTAACCAAAGTCTCACTTTCTTCATTTGCAAAATGGGAGTAATTTCTGCTTTATAGAAAAGTGGTTCTGTGAATAAAATGAGATAATGCCTATGAAATGCCTGGTACAGTACCTGATACCTAATTGTTAAAAATTTGTTAGTAAGAGCACACAATTCTTAACTGCGTTACCAAGTTAGTGTTGGTAACAGCAGTCATCACAGAGATTGGGTTACACAAAAGGACACTTTTGCCAAACCCCCAAACCCTAAGCATAGTGGCTTTTTCAGCGTTCTTGAGGAATACTTCAGCAGCAGAGAATGGGCCACAAGCAATCTTGAGCGTCCATCCTGAGAAGCTTGTGTGCTGCCCGAAGGTGTGCTGTGCCTGAGTGAATGGCATAGGCCGTGTTCTTTCTTGAGACCTCCTTGAAATTCTGCATGCGTAAAAGAAGGACCAGCGTCTTAAAAGTCAGTCTTTTCCAACTTCTTGCTAATGATTAAAAGGTTTGAATTGTGCTCAAGATTATGTTACAATGAATGCTAAAAAATGAAAACTTTTTCTCACACAAGTAATTACTTTGAAGATTAACACAGGGGTGAGCTTTGAGTGATTCAGGTTTCTTTTCAAGGGAATTTGTTTTTTATCTTGCTTGGGAGAAAAGATACTTGTTAAAATAGCTGGTCTGGGTCTTTCTAAGGGAGGACAGCAAATTGTGAGTATGTTAATTCTTGTCAACACAACTTTATGGTGTGGCTCTTTACCAACTTGAATTAATACATTTTTCTCCCCTGAAATATCTACCTCATCATTTAAAGTAAATTTTTTAAGTCCATATAATAACTGCTTTGTATTTATTTACACTTTTTAAATTTATTTTTTAATTATCAGTGGGAATAATAAACTCTTGCCCAGAAATAACTTTTATAGGTTCTTTAAATAATTTGATTCTCATAGAATGTGCATTATTTTAACTACCTTACCTTTTCTTCAGTAAAACTCCAGAGCATGAAACCAGATTTCTTGTCCATTTATATAGATAATAAAAAAAAGGACAATTAATCATTTTAAGAAGAAAACTGTAGATAATGTCATAATACAGTGGTACCTTGTTTAACTAGTGGAATTCTTTTCTTGTCTTTGCTCTTTTCAATAACTATCAAGCATCCACTATGTGCCTGAATTGCGAATTGTGCTAGGTTTTGGAATATACAGATAAATGTGTTTTTTCTTAAGTGAGCTGTAGCCAGGTGTTCTGCTGTGTGTGTCACTTCTTCACTCTAAACCCCATGCTCTTCTTCAAATTATGGGCACTTAGTTTCTAGTTTCTAGTGCATCTGGCTTTAGTAATAGTTATTAATATTAAGTTAATATTAAGTATTTTTTGGCATTATGGGGATAGGTCCCTTTAATGAAAATTCTAGGATGTAACCTTAGACTGTCTATGTTATTTATCTTTGAGAACAAAGTTCCCAGACACTGAATTATGTTTTGGAATACATATTAGCCCTGAGCTAACATCTGTTGCCAATCCTCCTCTTTTTGCTGAGGAAGATTGGCCCTGAGCTAAAATCTGTGGCCATCTTCCTCTACTTTATATGTGGGACGCTGGCCGCAGTGTGGCTTTATAAGTGGTGCATATGTCCATGCCCTGGATCCGAACTGTTGAACCCTGGGGCACTGAAGCGGAGAGCACGAACTTAACCGCTACACCACTGGGCCAGCCCCTACTTCCTCTTTTTTATGGAAAATAATCACAATAATTAACTTTAGCACTTTTCTGCTTGTATGTATATCATCTTATTTGATCCTTAGAACAGTTCTATCAGGCAAATATTACCAATCCCATTGTATAGATGAAGAATTTGAGGAATATAGAGGGTAAGTTACTTAGCTCTGACCTCTCAGAAATTTATGGGGTTAGAATTCAGATTCTGGCCTTTCAACTTCATCACCCGTGCTCTTCTGGCTTCCCAGATAGTCACAGTATACGGGAGGTAAGTTTGTAAAGTGTATTTTAACCAACTATTGTCATTTACTGAATTGTTTCAGCTTGTTTGGGTTGAAACCCCCACAAACCCTGTTTTGAAGATGGTTGACATTGAAGCCTGTGCACATACTGTGCACAAATATGGAGACATTATTTTGGTCGTGGATAATACTTTTATGTCAGCGTATTTCCAGGTAAATGAACGCAATTTTTTTGGCATGATTAGTAGGCTGTACAGACACCTGTAATTGGGAAAGGAAGGACTTGTGTACATTAAAAAATCATTCTCAAACTCATGAAATCTAACCATAATTATTGATTAGACAGAGAATTAAAATTAGACCTTTTCTACCATTGGTTAATATGTTTTTTCAACCCTAGGTTAATATCTGATATGGGATTTTGCGTGTTTTAAACATTGTCTTAATTAAAGCTTTTAGGTTCTCTTAGGATGTGTAAGCTCTGAAGACCTGGCCTTGTTATGGAATTGTTTCTGTTGGTGCCTTGCACGTAGTAGGGAGTTGAATGTTTATGTGCTGGTTACAAGTCAGTCACGTTATTTTTCAGTCACACCTCATATACTTATGTTTGTATATATTTTTTACCTGACCAACCTTTCAAATAAAAGGAAAAGCAAAGCTATATGCAATGACATCTCAGTGTATTTCACATATATTATTTCTCCATTTCTCTTCTTTCTTGTTTCTCTTCCCTCAACCCCATAGAGTATGCTTTGCCCTCTGTACCTTTGCCTTATTTGTATTATGAGTTTCCACTTCATGTTGCACATGTAGCTGTAAGTTTTGATAGTGCTGCTTATAAACTGGTATCTCTTTTCCTGCCTCCCCCTCTTCAGACATCTCTCCCTCTGTCAAACCCTCCCACTCGTCCTCCGTTCCTTTCCTTTTTCCTCCTACTTTTTTCCAGGTCTTCTTCCTTTTTGTTTTGCTCCCTTTGGTGGATCACCTTGAGATCTCTCTCTAATTGACTAGCTGTCTGTCTTTTCCCTCGTTTCCTCTGCGTGATCTAACTCTGTTCCCTTTCCTTATTAGGACTTACCTTCTCCCTGCTCTTTCCTTCCTGCCTTGTGGTCACACTTATTACACTTCCTGTAGTTTACCTTTATTCTGCAGAATTCCTGAAGTCCCAGCTTATTTTCTCCAGTCTTCTGTCAGGCAGATGTTGACAAGCTCAATTGTTTACATTTTCCCCTTTCTGCTCTGGGTCCCTCAGCGTGGCCCAGGCTGCTGCCACCAGGTGACTGGCCCACTCCCTGGGAGTTTGCATAAGCGTGTTCTTTACCTTCCTCCTTTTTGTTCAGAAGGCACTACCATGTTTTATTTTCCTTTCCTGAAACACATTTCCTGGCTACAGTGCATTTGGATAGCTTCATGGGCCACCTGCCTATGGCTCACAACATACCTTTGGCTGCTTGTTGTTGCAGGTACAGCAGTCTGTTTCCAGGTGAAAATCTCCTGGCTTCATCTCTTTATCTCAGGCGATTTTCGCTCTTGGTTTCTTTATCCCAATTCCTTACCCATCTACCTCTTACAAGAGGCCAGTTAATACAGTGTAGGAGCTGAGTCACGGTGACTCCTGTTTATTCCCAAAGAGATTTCATGAGTAGTTTTAGCCTGAGCCTGCCCAGGTTACTCATCAGGCTGGCCCTTTTTCTCCTATTACCATCACTAATCTGGGTCTGGCTTTCCACCTTTCTGAAGCCAACATCACGTTCCTCATGCCAGGGACTGCAATTTGCTTCATTTCAATCTGGGTTCAATCCAGCCGAATTAATCAGAATCACGCTGTCCCTAGACTGCCACATGTATTGGTTCCACAATGCAAATCCTCTGAAAAGGTCCTCCCGTTGTTTTACCCTCGTGAAAACTGGATATATTCTCTTTCTTTCCTGACTTTTGTCTTCTGGATCTTCTGTAAGTCGTACAAAAGGCAAAATGCACATACCAGCACAGAGGTTCAGAGTAGAACTTCTGGATTCAGGGAGTCTGGCTGTGAGTCCTGGCTCTACCAGCTTTTTAATCTAAGTCATCTATTTTATTTTCCTTAGTTCCTTTTTCTCATTTGTACAATCAGAGTTATACAGGTAATGATTTTATATTGAGTTAGGTCAAGTATTTCTACAGTGCTTCACTGGGTCATGTAAAGGATTTAACATAGTTCTTGGCACACAATGAGATCAACAGATATTAGTTACATATTTCTGTTTTTCCTTTTGACCATAGAGTTTATAGAATGTGGGCACCGGGAGAGAACTTAGACGTCATCTAGTTTGACCCATCACTTTGGAGATGAATGAACACATATGTAGAGAGAGCTTTGAGCAATACCTTGCTTAAAACACCCTTTTTTTCTTTTTGAGGAAGATTGGCCCCGAGCTAACATCCATTGCCAATCCTCTCCTTTTTGCTTGAGGAAGATTGTTGCTGAGCTAACATCTGTGCCAGTCCTCCTCTATTTTATATGGGATGCCACCACAGTGTGGCTTGGTGAGTGGTTCTAGGTCAACCCCCAGGGTCTGAACCTGCAAACCCCAGAGCGCTGAAGTGAAATGCATGAACATAACCACTATGCCATTGTTCCAGCCCCTAAAACATCCTAGTTTTGAAACACTCTAAATGAAAAAGTCCTATAGCCCCCTACACTAACGCCTTCCAAAGACTAAACAACTAGTGAGGTTAACACACACACTTTATTTTAAATAAAGTAATTGGAAAGATTTTGATAATAGATTGTTTAGTGAATAAGTTGATTATAACTTTAACTCTCACTATAAACAGACATTTTAAGACTAAAGGATTAATTTGCAGGAAAATTGGGTGAGGGAAAACAATCCAAACAAATTTCTTGATAAGTGACTTTACACTTGGCGAAACCAGTATAATAAAAGAGTAAGAGTCAAAAGCATGGCAAACCAAATGAATAATCACGGCACACATCGTAAGGTTTGAAGGAATAAAAATGTAAGCAGATTAGTTTATACTTCCTTGCCATAACAATTGCTGAATGTTGACGTCAACTATTTTATATGTTTATTGAGTCATAAAAATGCCAACATTTCTGCTGTAGGCAATAAATTTTGGGGATGGTCAGCAACTGCTCTAAAGAAGACCTGTTGACCTGAGTTTACCTGCTGTTTCCAGCAAATTTGTGCCTTTGGATTGAATACTGGCCGTAATACTTCGCGGTTTTATTTAGTTGGAGAAGGAAAGGGAAAAATAATGTCAGCGGTCTCAGAAAATTTTAAGATGTATGTGTTTTTGAAAAATTAGAAAGAGAATGGGATTTACAATAGCAAATAGGCAAGTCGTGTAACATATTTTCAAAGGATTTCTCATTTAAAATAGAAATTTACTGTTCCTTTCAGCGGCCTTTGGCTCTGGGAGCTGATATTTGCATGTATTCAGCAACAAAATATATGAACGGTAAGATGTGCACAGTCTCCACTTTGATGCTCTTTTCCATGGATAGAAGAAAATAGTGTAGGCCTAGACATTTTGATCTCTTTTCTTCTACTGTTATTCAGGTTTTCCCTGTGACTCATATAGAAAGTAAAAAAAACAAATTATGCTTTGATTAAATTAGGATTTCATTTATAACAGACAAAACTATTCTCATGATTTATGAGCAGAGGATTAAAATATACCATAAAAGTTTATACTTTTATCCTGCTGACAGCTTAAAAAGAGACATTTAATTTTTCTATGATTTTTATTTTGTTGTTTTAGGTATCGCTTTTGCTACTGTCAAATTGAATAAAGTTTATTTAGACTTAATCTGTAGGGCTTTTTCTCAGAGACTTTTTTTCTGTTGAAAGTCACATGTTAGAAAGTTATAAAATGAAAAATAAGCATACATTGTTTTTAACTTAAAGGTTTTTGTTTTGTTTTAGGTCACAGTGATGTTGTAATGGGCCTAGTGTCTCTTAATTCTGAGAGCCTCCATAGTAAGCTCCGTTTCTTGCAAAATTGTAAGTATTAAATAGTCCGGATTTCCCCTTATGCTCCCAGAGTGACTACATCTGATGTTTGTATTTCCTCTGAATGTTGTGAAGTGATAGCATCCTACTGATTTAGGAAGAAATGAGAAACAGAGGGGAAAGTTATGATTTTTAGAGGAAAGTAAAAAAATTCGGTTATAAAAATAGAGTTATAGCATATCAGGGCTTAATGATATTAGAGATGAGTTTTATTTTTCAAATCTATGGTAATTTTGATCATAATTTGGTAAAGCTCCAGTGAATTTTTAGTTTTAAGACTTAATGGAATTTTTTCTTTTTTTAAAAAAAAGTTTGGAATGATGGCTTTCATTTCCTATACCTTTTATACATGGAATGGTGGCTAATTTTAAATAGCACTTAAGATATAAACCGATATTTTTTGTTAGATGTCTAAAAACCATTTCCTGTTTAGATTGTTTAGTTATCTCAAGTATGGATAAGGGTTTATTTAAAGAGAGTCGGTTTAACCATTGTGATTTGACAGACAGATCAGATACAGATGTAATTAGGAATAAAAATGCCCTTCTAGAACATAGCTCAGTCAACACCATGACTGCAGCCTTGTAAGACCCTGACAGAGCACCCAGCTCAGCTGTGCTGGGGCTCTTGACCCAGGGAAAGATCATAAACGCATGTTGTTTTAAGCTACTAAAAAAAAAAAAGCCTTTCTAGGAAGTAAGTATTAAAGTAACCAAAGGGGTTCCTGAGGAGGGAAGCAATAGCTATTGCTTGAGAAATTCCTTCATTTATAAAAAGTGGGAGTGAAGTGCGTGTCCTGCAGGTGTGTGAAGTCATAGGCTGCTTTAGACAAAAGCTAAATAGAATGTTAGTACAACATTCAGTAATAATAGAAGCTGACATGCTATTTTTCTCTACATGTAACACTTTTTCAAAGAAATACAAGGTTAAACCATGTACAGTATGTCATTTCATTAAAATCATAGAAAAGATTATTTGTGCTCATATTCAAAAAGTTTCTATCACTGTTTGTACTTAGTTTTCAGGATATTCATTTCACCTCTCATTTTAAAGCCCATTTCTCTAAGCATATTTTATGTTTCATTCTCGTGCTTCTCATTTGATATATTACTTTTTTCCCCTAAAACTCAAACATTGGGCTTTGAGGCTAGCTTCTCAGTCTCTATAATGAAAAGGAGGGGCAAGAGAAATTTCCGGGTTCCTCCTCACCTTCAAACTAACCCAGTATTTGTTCATTTTACAGCTCTTGGAGCAGTTCCATCTCCTGTTGACTGTTACCTCTGCAATCGAGGTCTGAAAACTCTGCAAATCCGAATGGAAAAGCATTTCGAAAATGGAATGGCAGTTGCTCAGTTTCTGGAATCTAATCCCCTCGTAGAAAAGGTTGTTTATCCTGGTATGTTCATCTGATTTCTAAGCACATATGCTTACACTAGGATTTTAAGGGTTATCCTAGGCATCCTGTTTATGTAACATTTATTTGTAGGCGGGGAAAATGTTCCAGGTTAAAAGGACAGCAAGTGCAAAGGTCCTGAGGTGAAAAAGACTGGTACTGCTGGTGTAAAGAAAGCTGGTGTGGCTAGAGCATGGAGAAAGTAGAAAAGATAGGTCAAAATGAAGCTAGAGAGACAGAGACAGGGGCTAGAGCAAGTAGTCAGATGTGAACGCGCCATAAAGCTCATGATTAGGATTATTTGCAATTTACTTAAGCAGATGGTGATTTTTTTTGTTCTGAAATGATCTGTTTGACTCTAAAATAAGACTTTCATTATGCCTGTGATTCCAGGGCTGCCCTCTCATCCTCAGCATGAGCTGGCAAAGCGTCAGTGCACAGGCTGCCCCGGCATGGTCACTTTCTATATTAAGGGCACTCTGCAGCATGCTGAGACTTTCTTCAAGAACCTAAAGGTAAACATTCAAAGTAGGTTTGTAAATTGTAGACATAGACCTTCTTACAGCAGTTCAAGGTCTCTCGCTTCCATCCAGCTCAGATTCATGTTTTTTCCCTGCAGCTCACACCCATAAAGCTCTTCAGCATGAAACGCATTGGGGTGGAAAATTCACATGTCAGTAGCAGACATCTGAATAACGTTCGTTTACTTAACTCTCTAGACACTTCCACCAATTTGAGAGAAACAATGCTCTAATGCATTGGTTTTCAAATTTACGTAAGAGTGAACCCCCTTTTCAAATGAAAGATATGTAAAACCTTGAAGTAGCGTGTGGTTAGTGCACTGCCCAAGGCTGTTGTGAAATCCAGCCTAGGAATGGCTTTCCAAACCTTGTGCTTCCCGGGCTGCATCTACCTGGGGTGAGGGAGGGAGGGAGTTTTCACAGTGGCAGGAGGGTCTCAGGGCCCTGGCAGGGAGGCCTACATAAGTCCATGCACTGGGCTTACACTGAGCTCCAGCAGTAGGCTCTGAGTTGTAAATACTACAGGTCTGTTGACTAGGACACTGTCGGATTAGTCAAAGCCCTGCTGGTATCTAAAATTTGTCCATGTCTAACATCAGAAAGATAATTGTGTATATTTAATTTAATACAATTGCGAGAGTAATTTTTAAAATACTTGTAAAATTCTGTGACACTATAACACTAAATACAAAAACTGAGTTGTTTTCCTTCTACTCCAGGAGGGAGTTAAATGGATATATTAATTTAAAAAGCATTACACATTAACAAGTAAGGGTATAACTTGGTAGACATTTAAAGATTTTTATTTAAAGGGTAAGCACAAAGCTAAGCCTCTCAATGTAGTAATTCTGAGGTTTAGAGCTCACGTTAACTGTTACTTAAGTACAGGGCCAAATTAGGAAGGTGTGGGAGATTCCCCTTGATCAACTTTTAATGTTTTAAAAATTTGCACATGATATGTCTACTTGGTGAAATCATCGTTATAGATTTTATTCGCATGTTTCCTCTGAGTTTCTTGCCCAATTTGCAGTTTATTCATATTCACCACCATTTCCCATCCTCTGTCCCAGGGCCGTTTGACTAAAAACATTTATTTTTAGACCTTTGTATCTTTATTTCACTGGAGGACCTAAATGAACGTTTTCTTTGCCTCAGGTATTTACTCTGGCTGAGAGCTTGGGAGGATTTGAAAGTCTTGCTGAGCTTCCGTGAGTATATTTCTGTTCTTCTGAGTATTTTAACTTTGATGTCAGCTTTGAAGCTTGTTTGGAAAAAGGAGTATGATAAAATCAGGGCTAATTCAAGATGCTGAACAGCAAGAACTGCATGGCGCTGTCTAATCAGAATGGACTCTACCTCGTGGAATGGAGACCTTGATAAAATCTAATGGGAGCTTCCTATCAGTGAGCTTTGTCCTCCCAGATTTTGCTTCCTTCTCTGTTCTGCCTGAAGGAGATTCCAGCAGTCATGGAGTCTTAGGATCATCTGACCTCTGACCCAGGGCTGCTTGTTCTACCCACCTCTGCCCTGGAAGGGAGGTTGGGGACTTGGTGCTGGAAGGGCTGATTTCAGGGCTCCCTGAAGTTGGGGAATGTGTTTCTGATGAAGCACCTCCATGCCCTTGATTGTCAGAGGAGGGCTTTAGTAGATAATAAGGTCAAATCCCTTTATTTTCTGTTCTCTGGGTAAACGTTGAATAACTCCATGTTATCTGCAAGATAAACCCAAAATCTAACTTGGTATTCCTGGCCCTTCACTGCCTGACCCAATCAATTCATCAAATTTTATCAAAGCACCAGAGGATATTAGAACATGAAGCAGCCTGAGGTCAAGCAGCCTAAGAGCTTATTCTACAGACAAGGAAACACAGATTCAGAGTTTTGCTAATTACTCAAATGTCACACAGGAATATGTTAGCAACTTCCCTCTTCAGGCTTTGCCTTGAAACAACGAGGGGAGGTAAAAGCAGCCTGGATCTCAACTGAGACCTGTTCCCCTAGTTACTTAACCTTTGAGCTTCAATATTTCACCCATAAAATCGGATTAATAATTAAAATGGTTATCATTTATTGATTACCTGTCCCACCGAGCATTTCTGAGCTATACCCTGACTTTCTTGTATGTTACTATGACCATATGTTGTAATTATTGCAGCGGTAAATCAACTTCATTACCTAATAATTTTCAACTGTGTGAAATGTGCATGGTAGGTTTCTGTGTTTGACTTTTCATAAACATTGCTGGAATGGTCTGGAAGCATTGTGCTGAGGAGCGCCAGGGATTACTTTCGGCACATTTGCTGCCCTCTCCTAGTGGTTTACAGTTTCTGGGGAGAGAACGGCAGTTCCTCAAAGTTAAAAAAAAAATAGGGTGCCCAAATAATGATTCAAGTAATTAAGATAATATGTATAGTTTTCCTTAGTCCTTCCAGAAGATGCCTGCTAGTAAGTCTGGGTGCACAAGAGGGCACACTCAGCATATGAACTTGGTTTATTTTTCATAGTAACGACATGTGTATTACTTTAAGGCTCTCTTGAAAATAGACCTCCCCTGATTTATTTAGGGATTTGGTTTAAGTTGCTTGGCTCTCAATCTCTCCAGCTGCGCCCTAACCCCGATCAACGCCAGTGGACGAGGGAATTTAGGTCAGGGCTTGTCCATTCTATCACCTCCTTCTGTGTCTCTCAACTCAGCTGCGACTCGTGCAGCATTGCAATGAGGGAGGCAGGAAGCAGAGCCAGCGTGCACAGGGTTGGTCTCCCAGCCTAACAACACGTGTTAATTCTGTGACCTTAGGAAAGTCATCATGCTCTCTCAACCTCGTTTTCCTCAGTTGTCGGATGTGGATAACACTGAACCCAGCCCTTAGAGTCGATGTGAGATCACAGGGGCAAAAAATACCTAAGCTGATGCCTTGATTCGTACTATGTGCCCAGTAAATGTTAACTACTATTATAAATTATTATTTTTTAGTGGCATCTACAACATCCTGGGTATTTATAAGTGGTTTATATATGTTCCTTCCATTAATGTCTGTGACAATCTTTTGAGATAGGTCTTATGTCCACTTTTTATCTATTAAAGAAATGAACTAATACACACAAATGACCTAATAGAGTAGCCGCCTCACGTAGGCACACAATAAGTGATAACTGTTATTTCAGATAAGAAAACCGACTCTGAGGACAGGTAACTTTTACAAGCCCACACAGCCAGGATGTGGAAGGGCTCCGATTCATGCCCAAGTCTGTTGGTCTCTGAGGCCTAATTTCTTAATTCTACCTGTGCACTCTCTTTTAAGGAATTAAGAGCTTGAAAAGGCCGAACATTTGAAGGAGGATGTTTGTGTGTAAAACGTCATTAGAGTGATAGAAGATACCCATTTACTTTGACCACAGCTGAGATTTTCTTTCCATGGGTCTGAGATAAGTTAGGAGAAAGCAGTGTAGGCACTGATTTTGCTGGTAGCATGCAGGAAAAGGATGCATGTTGGTGGCCACGTGTGTATTAGGGCCTAGTAAGACTGAAGCCGTCCCTCCAGGCTGCCTCAGCCCCCAGAAATTTCTCCCTCCTCTGAACTTTGGTGGTCCTTACTGTCCTTACTTGTTGGGCATTTGCTGAAGACTAGTCTGTTTTGTGAGTTGTGTCAGTCTTTAGCTCCTGCTTTGTTGTATAGGGTAAAGAAAAGCTCTCATTCTTCTTGGTTTCCCAGTTGTCATTATAGTGCCTGGCCCACAGTGGGTGCTTTGCCTTTCCACATGTTGATGATGAGGATGAGTTGCTAGATAGTTTTGAAAATCCTTCCAGGCCTCTCTCTGTCATGGGTTATGGGCTGGAGTTCCTAATGCTCACTGGTTGCTGCTAGTGATCCTGGGTTCTTTCCCTGATTTGCCTTGGAAGGTCCAGTTCTGGACTGATCCACTGATCGAGAGCTGGTTCATCTTGGGGTATATGACTTCTGGCCAATTCCTCATTCAGGCAGGTGTTGAAATCCACACACTGGAGACTGTGTCTTTCCCTCCTGCATGGGGGTGCTTGACAGGCACCTTTAGCGTCTGGATTGAGTATACCTTATTGACGGTATAAAAATGACAGAAGATCTTGATTTTCACTTCAAACCATGACTAGAAAAGATAATTTTCTCAATTCCTTATTTTTTTGCCTGTGAAAAATCATAGGCATATAAAGAATTTAATATTTAGAGCAGGAAAAATTTGAAGATAATTGCAATTTATGAGACAGAAAGATGCCTCCACTGATATAATATAGTGATTGAAAATTTGCTCACTCTTTCTTCCAGGGCAATCATGACCCACGCATCGGTGCCTAAGAGCAACAGAGATGCCCTTGGAATTAGTGACACACTGATTCGTCTGTCTGTGGGCTTAGAAGATAAAAAAGACCTACTGGACGATCTAGATCAAGCTTTGAAGGCAGCAGTAAGTTTTGTTAATTTAGCATGTGTTCGCATATGTCTGCTTAACCTTGAGGGCCGGGTCACCATATTTATAGTGGCCTCACTGTGCACTGTGGAGATTTTCTCTTCTCTTCCTATAACAGACAGGGCGTATAAATGTGCAGGGAACTCAGTCAAAGTGCAGATTTAAAAGATGTTAGTATTCAGAAAAGCGTCCTTGGAGAAGGTGAAGTCTTTGCCTGCGGGTTACTAACGTACTTTTCTTGTGCACTGTTAATACAGCACTCTCCAAATGCAAGTCGTGGCTAGCATCCCAGAACTGCTATTAGAAGTTGCTTCCTGAGAAGATCAAACCTTCTGAATAATTGAATGGACCATGAACGAGCCTTTGCAGAATTTTCAAGTGAATATTTTAAGGCACCTCCTTACCTTTCACAATGGTAGCCTTCCAGGGACCATCCCTGTTAAAAACACGTTCGTGTCTCCCTTATTGCCAGCAGATCAATTCTATTAATATCTTTCTGTTAATCTTGGTGTACATTTGCCTCTGAAGGAGATGAGATTTGTGCTGCTTTGGGGGATCATGGTCTTTTTTTTGTAGCTTAAGATTTATATTGATCGTGTTTACAATATAATGGTGATTCACTTTTGATGTTTTCTGAAGAATTTAAATTGTTAAATGAATGTTCTTAAATCAAATGTGATTTTTGCATATTGCTGAAAACAGCACTTAAAACAATGGTTTACACTTAATTGCCATAAGCCAAAAATCAAATATTTGATTTAGCCAAAAAGTCTACTGTGAAATTCTACTGATTTAAGGTTGTACTTACTATTAAAAAAAAAATAAATCTAATTATCAAATGCATCCCACTGTGGTATTCCTAGATTATGTGGCTTTAACTTGTATTCCTGGTCCCTTTTAATTCCCTACTCTCAAAGTTCTCGGCCACTTATGTTAATTTTTATAAATTCACTTGTATAGCTATCATGCCCACAACTTAATGTTTGCAGGTTAGTTATAAATTCTTTACGTGGCATGTCAGAAGCTACTTTTATACACAGAAATATTACTTTTTATATTTTTATCTGAAATAGTAAATTTGTTGAGGCTAAAGGAAGAAATCCTTAGAATCTTTTGTAGTTAAGTGCATAGTCAGCAAGTTACTGTTAAGAAGTCATGAGTCAAATAATTAGATTTTTAAAGTTGTTTTTGTACAAAAGACTTTCAGTCATATGTTTTCTATCACCATTTGTTTCAGTTAAAAAAAGCATTCAACTTGACTAATAAAAGTGCTGGGTAGGAGGAGAATATATGTTTTGATGTTTTGTCGACTTTCCGAATTATGCGTGTCGAGTCTGGAAAGTCCGTCTCTGTGGGCAGCAGCGTTTTGAGGCAGGCCGCGTCCCACTGTGGTCTCCAGCAGATCTGATTCCTTGCCATTTCAGTACCTTAGGGCTGTGGAAGTAAACGAAGACCAACAAAATGGGACATGCAAAGGCTATTTATTCTAAGCTTGCCAGGGAGTCAGCTATTGTCAGTTATATTTTGGGACAGACTCAAAGGCGGGCAGAGCATAAGGAATTGTAGAAATTTTAATATCTGTTGATGTGGGTGAGAAATGAAAATTTCCGTATTTAAAACTGTCAGGTGACTTTTAAATGGATAGCAGTAAATCACTGTCTGAAATGCTAAAAAAAAAAAAAAGCTGCAAAAACAAAGGCAGACAGAGATGGAAAGCTTTATAGTGTAAACAAGGGAAGGGCTCAGGTGTGCCCTGATCAGAGGTGTGGCCTGGGGAACCTGTGGGATTGCTCAGAGGGGCGCATTTGGCTTTCTAGGGTTGGTCCTCCATCGAAAGCAGGGACAAAAGGTAGGGAAGCTGTCAGTTATTAATCAAACTAACCAGAAGCTATTGTTTAGCTTCCTGGATTGTCACCAGCGATGGCAGTCAGGTTTACTGCAAGTCTGACTTAAGGTAGCAGCGTCCTGGGTTGTTAGTGTAGATAAGAGAGGTGGTTTTCTGGGGAGGTTGCTGCAGATAGTAGGTCAAAGTTCTATTTTCGTATATGGTCTGTCCGTTGTCCGTTTCTATATTTAGTCTCTCAGAGCTGCTGGTGAGCAGGCAGTAACTACCATCCTATTAGTCAGGGTTCTCCAGAGAAACAGAGCAGATAGGATACGTGTGTGTGCATGTATGTGCGTGTGTGTGTGTGTATAGAGACACAGAGAGGGAGAGAGATCTATTTTAAGGCATTGACTCACGTGATTGTGGGGCCTGGCAAGTCTGAATTCTCCGGGGCAGGCTGGAGAGTCGTGTACGAATTGTTGCAGCCTTGAGTCCAAAGTCTGCAGGGCAGCCTCGCAAGCTGGAAGCTCAGACAGGGTTTCTCTGTTGTGGTCTTGAGGCAGAATTGCTTTGCCTTCAACTGATTGCATGAGGGCCACCCATATTGTAGACTGGTGTCCTTTACTCCAAGTCTACTGATTTAAATGTTAATCATATCTAAAAAATGTCTTCATAGCAATATCTGGACTGGTATTTGACCAAGCAGCTGGGCACCATAGCCTAGCCAGGTTATAACCATGTTCTAGGCACTGTTCCTTACTGCCTGAGAAGGCACCATTTGTTTTTTAGGGTTATGAAGTTTATCCACAGCTTTTGGTTATCTGCAAGCTTGTCTCTCCCCATTCATTAAAGCAGGTCCTACGGAGAGGATGAGTCAGCGTTTAAACACTGCTCCCCCCACCCTTGCCCCCTTCATAGTCATCTGGCTTTGTGGAAGGGAACATAGTGGACAGCCACTCTCTGGTCGGGTTAGATGAGGTCAGGGTTCCAGGACACTGTTTTCACTGAGTTGCTTAATGGGGCACATTCTTCGAAATTCCATTCTACTCTTGTGTTTACTGCATCACTGCTGACAGTCTAAGAGTGAGCTTAACATCTCACACCAAAGCCAGTGGGTGCTACCTTAAGTAGACACACAACATCGTGTTTATTGTATTTAGCTAGTTGACATTTAAGAGAAAACCTTATTATGGAGTTGGTAAAGTATAACAAGCTCATTTCTTCTACTTATGACTCAGTTTACTCATGTATTTGTACCTGAGAGCTTATTCCTACCTCCTTCTGGCTGCTTTCAGTTTACGTGATAAAAGAAATGAGACTTACTCTCCCACTCAGTGTCCTTGTACATTTTCTCTTAGTTTTTCTGTGAATTTTGTTGTAGATAAGGTGGATGAGATGATCCATTATTTTGGAATTTCTTGCCAAAACTACCAGCTCTGAGATGTAACAGGTAAGTAAGAAAGTAACAATGAAATCTGGAATTTTTAAGAAAGATTAAGACATCCTTTTTAACAACAGAGTAGACTCAAGTTACCTGAATTCCCCAGAGGAGCCAGGAAACAGTTGGGAACTACAAATTTATTTTACACAAACATGGAAATCTGATACCCTATATTTTGTAAAGTGAAAACAATATGATCACTTAATTACTCAGGTGGACCTGAAGAAAATTTCAGAGAAATCGAAATAAAGCTTATAATACACTTTAGAAAAGCACGAAAGGGAACACAAATGCTTCACAAGAAACCTCTCTTAGGAGGCCAGTATCAAAAGAAACAAAACAGGTGGTAAACAGGATTAAACCACAAGTCATCAAGGGGTAACAAAAGTATTATTACTCAAAGTAAGGAAACTTCTCTTAGGAATTATCCAAAGACAAGTCAGTGATAAAAAGAAAAAGAATTTTCATCTCCACGACAAAATTTGCTTTACATTTGCTTCGTAATACAGCTACAAACTTAGGAAAAAAATAAGTGTAATAAAGAATGTAATTGCTTTTGGGATAGAAATTGAAGATTAGTTGAGGAAAGGATTGCTATATATATATTTTTAATAACCACATTTGATTCGATGTTGACTTATTCCTCACAAAGTCAGTTTGAATTTGTTCCAGTGAGAACTTTCAGATCCTGCAAACATTCCTGGTCTTTCGAGTCGTATGCCTCTGACAGAACATAGAGCATCGCACAGGGCATTGGAGCCTTCTGAGTTCATTACTATTTTTATAATACCTTATAACTCAGTTTCTTCAATTAGAAAAAAATGCAGGGTGATTTTTTGTTTTTTGTTTATTTGCTCAGTTGTTCCTCATATCTACCCATTGAATTAGAAGGCACAAGTGTAGTCCATCTTCTATAGAGAAGGAAAGGAAGATTCTGAGTGGTTATGTGACCATCCGATATCACACAGATAATAAAAATAACCGACAGAAATTAAGGGAGTTCATTGCCACAAAACCTCCTCTTCAGGAAATCCTCAGGAAAAATAACCGACAGAACCAGGGCTAGAACTCTGGTCTTCTGACCTCTCATGTCATTGTTCCAATGCACCATTTTTAGCCCAGCACAGAGAATTCTTAAACAGATTAGCAAGCCACGCTCCTGAAGTCGCAAGAGTTGTTATGCGAGTAAGGCATCAGAATGAAAACCCTAGTTTCTAGGTGGGAAATGATGGTGGCTCTCTAAGATGGACATATATTTTATTTCTATAGTTTCTTTTATTTTGAAGAAGAGTCCAGCAAAGTCTAGCCTTGGCTTGTTTCTCAAGGAGTGGTCTCTGAAATAGATGCCCTCTTGAGTTAGGTACAAGGGGGCTGGCCTTTCACAGTCCTGTATTCTTTAATTACTAGCTATGGACTGTGGCTGGGGAGGAGCAGGGAAGGTGGTGATAGTGGGGAGGGGGTTGGTTAACCTCCCTGGTGAAGCAGCTCTAGCTAACTGAGAGCAATTTTCTGGGGAAGGGTGGGTGGGTGCCCTGGTCTGGTAAGGAGGATTCAATGCATACCATAGCATCCACTGCAAGTAATAAGTCATGCCTCGTCCGTTTATATCTAACAACCTTCAAGCTAGTCTTAAAAAGTAATTGTGGCTATAATGTGATTATTAGACTATAATGAAACTGCTCCCTCCTTTCCTCCCATAACATTTTCCTCTTTTTTATAAAAATGCTTTTGTTCTAGAAAATTTAGGGAGTTAGAGGGAAAGGAGATTTTTTTTTTTTAACAGGCTTCTATTCTGGAAAAGTAGAAATCAGATTTTCTGAGTTCAAAACCCAGATCAGGTGCTTCCAGCTATTTGAGCTTGTTTTGAGCAACTTATTTCAATGCTATAAGCTTCAAGATCTTTCCTCCTAAGTAAACTGGAGGTAATCACAGTGTTTGTGTCATGGAGTTGTTATGAGGATTAAGAGACATAATGCATGCATGCAGTAGGTGCTCAATCATTGTTCGCTGTCCCTTTGGCTCAGTAATAACCATTGTAAAATTTCTGTCTGTATGCCTTCAAGTTCTTTCTCTGAATTATATAGACGGTGTTTTGAATATTGGAATCATGGCAAATAGAAACTGTCGATCGAGCGCCTCTTGTGGTTTTAGATTTAGAGTACTCCGCTGTTGTTACTAAGTAACAGACTGGTTATCCTGGGTGGAGGGAGGAGCGGGGTGGTTTCCTCCCACCCCAGCCACAAGCTGCTTCAACCAACTGGTGGGAGGGTTTTTTTTTTTTTGGGTCTTTGTTGCTTGAATATTGGAGAAAGAAATGCCAGAGGACCTGGCTGGCCAATATATGGTAGCTAATACAGTACTGGCAGAGTATTTTGAAAATATAAAGCAAGCTTAAAAGTTTAATTGTCACCAAACAGCAATAATCATAGTTGTAATGTGGTGGAAAGGTTTGAAATTGTTGTTATTTTAAAGGAGCCAAGAAAAGAAATTCACTGTTAGAAATTTTTCATGTTGGATGAATTTTTGACGTGGAACATTGAAAAAATATTTAATGCCAGGTATCTTCTTGTGTTTTTGATTCTCAAAAATCAAATAGCCTTTGTAAAAGGCAAAATAACCAAAATCGCAAACAGTGATTTTGCTAAGCAATGAGAGTGGTTGCCTCTTGTCTTGACCGCCTGGCATCCATTAAAGGTCCTTCAGGCAGCATATACCCTGTTCCCATGATTGGTTACTGGTTTAGTGGGGAGCTCGAGCAGTGAGCACAGACTGACCTAAACCAATTCACATATCTGAGCTCCTGGCCACAGTGATGTTCCAGGTGAACGCCTGATCTAACTCAGAACAATCAGAATGAATCTCAGAACTTTTATGGGAGTTACTAGAAAAGATACATTCCCATTCCCTTGTGACTTCAGCCTAAAGGTATGCAATGTGGAGCTGCTGCAGCCATCTCACCACCACGAGGAGAACACCTATCTCAGAATGAAACTCCATGGAGAAGGCCTCTCTGAGAGATGG